ACGACGTTAATAAATCTTTAATACATTAGCTCATCCATGAACATGATTTTTGCCCGAGTCCCATCGGATTGCTTCGGCTGTGGGGATGAAGACGACAACTCCCATGATTCCACACTCAGTCACGGCATCATCTAACTACGCCTCTGTTTCTTTGGTTGTTTTGAATATGCGCCCTCTAGTGGCGAAAAATTACATATTGTGCCTTTAATGTAAGCGGTCTTTACTCTTGCCTTTAAGACTACTTCCAGTGTCACATGATCCTTCAGAAATAATTCTAATATTCTGTTTTGGTGGGGGAAAAAATTCTTATTAATGTTGAAAACATTTAGCTGCTTATTTTTTTTTGTGTGTGTGAATTCCTTGATGAATAGAAAGTTCAAAAGAATAGTATTTATTTTAAAAATAGAAATCGTTTGTAATATTCATATGCCTTACGTTATGCCTTTACCCAGCACTTTTGATCAATTTAATGCCTAAATGCTGAATAAAAGTATTAATGTCTTTAAAAAAAAAACATAACTTATGAATGGTAGTATAAATATTTTACAGTTTAAATAATATGCTATTAATTGTTTGGGAATAAAAGACAAATAAATAAACTTTGAAACATAATTTAGATTTTTATACTTTGACCCCAAATTTCCATAAATTAGCAATTCTTTATTATCATTGGGTAAAATAATTTAATGTGGTTGTTTTGTAAATAAATGGAAAAGCAAACTATAATATATATGGGCAGCTACAGGGACAATACATATTCAACGTGGAGTAAACAGACCAGATATTAAACCTTTTTTTTCCAAAAGCTTTTAAAACTCAATAGTTATTTATTTATTTTAATTCAGACTATTTGCAACAAACTCAATATTTTCTCCACCCCATAGTTGTCTCAGGCTAAGAACACCAGCCAACGATTTCGTCCCCTGGACAGCACTTCTGATCCCCACCTGCACATTAACGGTCATCCCCCGGCCCCCCTTCTGCGCCCCCAACACAGAGCCCAGCCTCAACTTACAAAAGTTCGACCCTCTCACAATATCCACCAAACAGGTTTGATATTACAATTTGCTTTTTTTTTTTTAATGATTTATTCATTTACTCATTCATGATGTATTCATTTTTAATGAATACATTTATCCATTTATTGCAAGATAAACTTGTAATTTATCCCCAGGGAGCAATATATATTTTGCAGCTTCTCTGGCTGTGAAAGTATTGCTCCCTCAGGTCTTGCACAAATGAATGTACTGTCACATTGCTTATGATTCATATGTCTGGCTTCTGTGACTGTTCCATTTACTGATGTCATTTTGTGTTTACTGCTAATAATCAATGTAAATGTACCTTCACTGTCACGCAGGTTTCAGCGTAGCTGTTTTCTCTAAAATCCTTTTGGGTTTGTGTTAGTTCTTAGTACCAGACAAGGTGGCATACTGTATTTAACGTAGTTCATACCCTCAGTGGAATGTTTTCAATCAAAAAAGGAAAAATCAAAAATGGCTGCCTTTTCTTTGAAAAGACTATTTTTGTTTTGTTTTTCAGAATTATACATACATAGACACTTTTTTCTACTCTTAATTTTATACCTTTTTTGTAACCAAATAAATTTGATTGACAAAGTGATTGCAGTAGTATATGCACTGTACATATCACCTACATACATTATATACATTTTTGTCGAGGTCAGTTCTAAGGACATGTTGTGGACAAAAAGTCTTCTCTGTCTTGCAAAATAATACTTGGAGTTCCAGAAGTCAAAATTTTACTTTATTGCAAGAAGACAACAAAGCTGAGATGCCTGCAGAACATCCGAGTCTTTCTCTGTCCAGACTACCATCTTTGCACATTTTTGTTGTTGGTCACTGTCCAATAAGCGTACAGACCATTCTTGCATCATACATCATTCCCAGTACTTTCCACAATTGTTTATTATTTTTCAGAACACTTGCTTTCATTGCAGAAAACCACCTGCTAGTCTGTTTTTCAAAAGATAACTTCTCTTATCTACCACTTTCCAGGTGCCCAAGGTTGCAGAGGATTACACATTTTAGGATTTACATTTTTTTTACACACATTATCTCATCCTGTGGCATCTCCCTTCTCCAATATTTCTATCTGTGTATTCTCTATTCATAAGCTCAGTCAAGTAAGCCATGAGGCCGGCCTACAGTCAGTCAGTTTGGCCTTGAGGCCTTCAAATGCACCCAGCCCACATATGAGGCAAACTAACTTTCACAAACATGCAAAACAACTTGTTTTCTATAGGATAAATAAATTATTTCATCAGTCATAGTTCACAAATGTTTCCCTTTTAGGAACCTACAACAGTAGTTCAAAATACTGTATCCTTTACGCTTTAAACAACAGTACTGACTGTGTTCCTGTACGGTCAGCACAATGCAGTGTGTATCATATTTTTCTTTTTTGGCACCATCTCAGTGGATATCAGGACTACAAGTCAATATTTCAGTGTAAACAATATCTCCTATTTCCAATGACCAAGCAAAACAATGCAAGCATAGCAAAATATCTAGCACAGTGGGTAATGCGTCGTCAAGTGCTTCAGCTATTGAGAAACTGCAAGGCATTGCGGTCTAAACTGGGCATGCAATTGAAAAGAAAAAAAATCTGTCAATTATTAACTATAGAGCACAGATGTATTATAATATATATTCAGGGTCGCAGTTCAGACCTGTAGGTCAACGGCAGGTGGGGTCGGAGGTGTGTTGATGACGTCAAACACAAACCACACAACCAATCAGCGAAGTCCTACAAGTTCTGAGGCTCCTGATTGGTCTGCTTGACACCGACGAATCACGAGTCTCGTAACTTGTAGCGCTGCGCTGATTGGTTGAGTGACTGGTCGGTCCAGCTGATGGCAGAGGCGCAAGTAGTGTTGACAACGCCGCCCTGGATCTCTTCCCTATTTATTTACTCCCCAAAGGATATTTATTTGGAAAGAACAAAGCGAATTTGGAGGAAAGGAAAGACATGTCTTAATGTATTTCATACGTAAGTGCACTTCCTTGTTTAAGCTTGAGGGAAAGCTGTTAGCCAGTTAGCGTTAGCTGTCAGTGTTTACACACCGAGAGCAGCGAACAAAACTCATTATTACATCGGTAGTTTTCACGTTTGGTTCTAGTAGTTCATGTACATTCGAAGAACACATATGTAATCTGTTTTAAAGAAAAAAGAAGAGGCGAAAGCCCAGCCCTGCCGTTATTGACCTGCACCGCGCCAGCACGCGCAACATGTCGGGTGCACGCGACCTCCTGCACGCGCAGTAACCTTCTGCATAAAAATTCGTATGAGTAATGTTTTTATTTATTATTGTATGAGTTATGTGTTTTACAGGAAGATAGAAGCACACTGTCACTCTTTACAAGCTGTTTTCTCGTATTCTTATCTGCGTTACCTTCGTACTTGCCTTTCCCCTTCACTCTGCTTTAGGTGTTATCAGACTTGACATGGGAAACTTGGCGGACAAGGTTTAACGTTAGTCGTGATGAAAAGTTTAATAGCTGCATATTAAATAGCAAATTGCCATAAGTTGTTTTGTTTGTGGGGTAGAATTGTTTAATGTAAACTCAGAATTCAGAGAAAAATCTAAGAATTGCCAGATGTAAACTAAATTATGAGGGGAAAATTTGAGATATAAATTCGCAATTACCTTTATTTAATTTCATTCATTTATTTATTAATCAGTGGCGGAAACGGGCTTTTATGGTCTGCTGTGTGTAAAGTATTGGATAATTAATACAGTAATAAAGCATGATGGTCAGTGGCATTAATGTTATTCATTCTGATTAGTCATTTTCAAAATGTTTAGTGTCGTTACTTTAGTAGTGCAAATAGAAAATCGATTATTGTAATCTATTATCCTGTGAATATTTACTTTCATTTTTTGAACTACTTTTAGGTTAATAATAATAATATATTGTTAAGTTACTGTAACTGTGAACCAATTTTTTCATGTTGAATGGACAGCAGTGTAGGCTAATGCTATTTTTGGATGAAAGATTAATTAGAAAAGTGTGAATATTGAACCGGTTCCCTGTTAATCAGGGGTGCCCCAACTCAGTCCTGGAGGGCCAGTGTCCTGCAGAGTTTAGATCCAACTTGCCTCAACACACCTGCCGCGAAATTTCTAGTATGTCTAGTAAGAGCTTGATTAGCTGGTTCAGGTGTGTCTGATTGAGGTAGGAGCTAAACTCTTCAGGACACCGGCCCTCCAGGACCGAATTTGGGCACCCCTGCTGTTAATGCACCACATTCTGCTAACAAAGGAAATTCAGATTATAATATGGGATCATTCCAGAAAGGTCCAAGGTTTGGAGCGTTGTACTCGCATGCTGTCATGTCTTATCTTAGCTTTGCCGAATAATATGAGCTATGATTTGTGAAGAAACATACTGTTGGCCTGACAAATTCAAAGCAAAAATTTGCCCATTTGTTAACTTGCAATAAGAAGGTTGTGTTTTGTTTTGCAGCTGTGTCTGATCCATGTGCCAGTCAGCTGAAGCATGCTGGAAGAATGCAGCCTATAACCAGAAGAGATGCCGGAGTCTGGCATCAAACAAGGAGCCTGCTCTACAAAAACCTGCTGATCAAATGGAGGACCAAACAACAGAGTCTCCAGGTGCCTTTCATCTGCCACTCATATGCTTTATTCTCTGCTACAAATCTGTTGCACTATTAAAGCTTTTGCACGTCTCTTCTATGCGATGGTATTGAGCTTCCTCTGAAGTTTGTACAGTCTTCACCAGAAATGACTGAAATGTCCATTTCAATCCAGGGTTTTTGTGTGTCCTAAAAAGTGTTAATTCACATTTCCACAAATTAAGATCTTAAAGGGGTCATATGATGCGATTTCAAGTTTTCCCTTCCGAAGCGTTTGAGAGAGGCGGGGCATAGAGGACCTACAATAATGTACAGTATTTTAAAAATAATGTGTTTTTTGAACATTAAAGCATGTCAACATATTCTGTTACACCAAATACACAAAATAATGATCTTTAAAATAGCATCATATGACCCCTTTAAATCATAGCAGAAAGTCTTAAATGCAGTAAATGTTACACACATTGTAAAAAATTTATATCTTCCTCAGTATTTCTGCCTTGTTTTCCAATACAAATATCTAAACATCCTTAAATCAAGATGCATTTACTTGAGATGTGAAATGAAGTCTTGTTTTCTTGGAAATGTTAAGAAGAAATTGCTTGGAAAAAAATAGCGTTGCTAATACACAGTAATGGTTAAACTGTTAATCAAAATTATTTTGCTCAATAAATATAAATGATTATTAATCAAGCTAATTGTCATTTTAGATTTTTAAAACATTTCATCAGAATTATTGCACATAAGCACAAATCAAAAGAGTGGCGACTTTCGTGGTTTGCTCACAGATTTAGACTGGCAAATATCACAGGCTATTATGCTTAATAGAGAGAAGCAGAAATCATAATCACAATTAAAATACAATTTATCATGCAGCACTGTTGTTTCTTAATATTTCTTTACTTGGTCTTAAAAAGGTCTTAAAGTCCCTGTCAATCTGTTCAAAGATCCCGTGATCTGCCTAAATGTATCCTTGATCACAACCATTTACCTCAGGTTGCTCCAGAAGGATTTTTCCTGTAATAAGTGTATGTATGTCACTTTTGATAAGAGCATCTGCTAAATGAGCAGTACAAAATTGCCGTTACACAGTCTGCTTTATAAAATCACTAGACTTGGCAGTCTTAACACTAATGTTATGTTGTAATTCCCCTCCATCTGGATGAATTCCTCTTCCATCCACTCTGTTGACTCTTTACTGCCCAGCAGGTTGTTTATTCTCTTCTTTGATTCAGAAAGAGAAAAGAAAAAATCCTCCAAGTCATTTCCCTTTTTTCTTCTGTTCATGTGGTCATGTATTTTTTTTATGTAAGGTAACTTTTTAAATGTATTTTTAATGACTCTCTGCCTCCTGTTTGTTTAGTGAAAGCCACATCAGAGTCTTTCAGAATTAAGAGGCTGTGTTAATGGATGGGTGTTCCACTAGTTCATGTCAGCACCTACCATCAGTACTTAAGTACTTTTAAACTGACTTCGTAAAGGAAAAATTGTTATGATCCATTATGGAAAGCACAACAAAATGAATTGTATTATGAAGTAGTCATGGTTGGGATTTTTGCCAACGATTGTCATCTCTGTATTGATTTTCCTGGAGGTGGAGATGCTGAAGCAAGTTGTATTGTTCAGAGTTCTTTGTTATAGTGGGCTTCATGTATGTAGGTCAGACTTAATTCAGTCAGTACAGTGATTTACCACTATGCAGCAAAACCTTTATCATCCACGGATACACTACTGTTCAAAAGTTTGGGCTCAATAAGTCTGTTGTGCTTACCAAGTATACGTTTATTTAATCAAAAATATGGGGAAACAGTAATATTGTCATAATTGTAATATTGTCAAATAATGTCACAATTTAAAGTTTTTTTTTTTTTTTTTTTAATGAAATTATTCCTGTGATGCAAAGCTGAATTTTAAACAGCCATTACTCCAGTCTTCAGTGCCACGATCTTTCAGAAATCATTCTAATATAATGATTTGCTGCTCAATAAACATTTCGGATTTTTTTCAATGTTGAAAACAGTTGCTGGTTAGTGCTGGTTAAGGGTGTGTGTGTGTGTGTGTGTGTGTGTGTGTGGAAACGGAAACTATGATGCTTCTTTTTTTCAGAATTCTTTGAAGAATACAAAAGTTCAAAAGAAGATGATTTATTTAAAATAGAAAATATGATATAAATATATACATAAACACAGTCGTTTTTAATCAATTTAATGCATCCTTGCTGAAAAAAAAGTATTGATCATTAAAAAAAATATATATATATATATAAATCTCACTGACCCAAAACATTTGAACGGTAGTGTACACTTGCAAAAACGTAATTCTTTTAGTATTTTTAATAATACAGTTTTGGTTTTAAGGGAGGGAATAGCCCATTTGACCAATAAGAATCCAGTATTGGAAATCTGTAAATCATGAAATCAACGACTTTCTTCAATGTGGTCTTAAAATGAATTCCCCAAAACATTTTGCAGCAAAGATTGTAGTGCACATTCTCCAGGCACATTAAAAGCTAAACTCATGTCATGGTCTAGCAAATAAACCCAGAGGGATGATTGGAAACCCTCACTGGCACTGTGTGTTTATGGCCTCCCTAAGGCACTCCTGGGCCTCCTCATCCTCATTAGCACCCTCAACCCTCATGTCTCATATGGCAGTATCAGCACCAAGGAGCTGGAGTATGAACGGGACCTGTCACTCAAAGGTCTCGGCTACACCCCCATCAACAATGTCACCAATCACATCATGGAGGAGGTGGCACGGGAACTGTGTACGTCAGATTTATTGTTGTATTTCTTTTTAAAGTTTAAATTTTACCAAATTTTGCTTTTTATTTTGACAAAATCACACTAGAACATTTCACTGATCTGTAACGTTTATGCGTAATTCAAATTTTTCTGTTTCTAATTAAAAAAGCAAACAACTAAATAGTATTGCATGGTGTATTCTTTTGTTACTGAATGCTTTGCTAATTAATGGTGTGGTAGCGTTGACTCTGATGGTTTTTAAAGTGGACTCGCTGTGTGCGTTTCATTTCATTTGTTTGTGGGTGTTGAATCTTCAGCCATGAATGAGCGATTAGAGATGTTCTCCACTGAGGAAGAATTGGAGAATGCCAGTCTCTATGAACCTGATGGCTTTGTAGGAGTGGTCTTCTTGGATTCAATGACGTACCTTCTGCGATTCCCGTACAACCAACTCCCTCTGCCTAGCGACTTCACCGAATCCATAAGTGAGAATCACTCAGTGCTGAAATCATAAAGCCACAGCAGCTGTGGCACCTGATTTAGCTTCTTCTTTGGTTAATTGGTGACCTCCTTTTTAAAGCAAATGACATTCACTTTGTAACCGTTTGATCTGTATAGAAAGGAACTGGTATGACGGGTGCTTTTTAAAAAAAATTTTTATCCACAGCAAGCTGTTACACAAACTATGTCAACTGCCGTGCCGCCAACTACTGGTATTCTGGATTCATACGGCTGCAGTCTCTCATTGATGCTGCCATTATACAGGTTTGAAATGGCATGGATGAATAATTTATTGGTATTTAAGCATTGTAGCTGTTAAAATGGAGTGCATCTGCCTGCTGAAGTCTGGGATGAACATATATTAACTGTTAAAAGTATAATTTTTTAAAACTTTTTAAAATAAGCCATAACTAGTCTTCACATGATCCTTTAGAAATCATTACTGATATGCTGATTTTCTGCTCAAGAAAGATTTCTTATTATTGATGTTGAAGACAGTTGTGATGCTTAATATTTTTGTGGAAACCATCATGCAGGTTTTTTTTTTTGCAGGATGCTTTAATGAAGAGAGAGTTCAAAAGAACACTTTTATTTGAAATGGAAATCTTTTGTAATATCAGATTTTTACAGTGTTTTTATGGTAATAGGAAGTTGCTGAGTGGTATGATTTTTTGCTTCCATAATTACGTCTTCATTCTTTTGCAGATGAAGACCAAACGTCCCGTGTGGAACGAACTAAAAGTGCGTGCAGTGATGATGGGACATCCGGGTTCGGTGGAGGTCCAGAAGTTCCCTCATGCCCTGATCTCCATATACCTAGTGCTGGCATTTACACCCTTTGTCTCTTTCCTCATTGTCAATGTGGCAGCTGAAAAAGAGCAGCGACTGAAAGACACAATGAGCATGATGGGATTGTATGACTCTGCCTTTTGGTAAGTGTATCCACTTCAGGAATTATGACATTATAATTCATAGCCAATTTAAAACATGTATAAATGGTCAGTCTGTAAACTTTTCTTCTGATTTCTTTAGGCTTTCATGGGGCCTCCTCTATGCTGCACTAGTGACGACCATGTCCATTCTCATGGCTGTTATAGCAACCTGCACACCCCTGTTCTCCAACAGCAACTTCTTTGTCATCTTCCTCCTCATTTTCCTCTATGGAATATCCTCCGTAAGTCCTAGCAACCCTCCAGTCACATCCTGAACAATAGCAACTCAAAGCTTTAGAGTGCGCAAAGCCATTTAAATGGCCGTGCACTCATTTGGCCTCAGGTCTCGATTTCTGCCTACATTGAGTAGTCATATGAGTGACTGGCTAATCTGGGGTCATATTTAATATGTTATTAGTTTTCATTTTCGTTTTCCGAGGCTAAATTGCTTTCTGCTGCGTTGGTTTTCTTTTGCGTCAGTGGGGTATGACTGTACTGGTAAAATATCTGACAGAATGCAAGCTTTTTTTTTTTAAGAAAGCATTAGCCATACAGTTGTCAGCATTAAAGAGTATTTTCTTCAAGAAATGAAACCGCATTTGTGAGTTATTTTCATAATGTGACATTTCTGAATGGAACAGGATATTCAACGTGAACAAAATACTGGACAGGTATTGGTTTTATACATTGGGAATTAATTGTATTGTGAAAAGTGGTGTCTATGTGACCGATAAAGACTTAAAAATGTAAGTGTCTGTTATTGTTTTTTTAACATGAGATGATGAATTGAACAAAATAAGACCAGTGTGTTACATTTTAGTTTGCTGACCTCAAACCTTTTCTCAAAAGTCTTAATTTTCCCGCTTCTTAATCCCACAGATTTTCTTCTCCTTCATGTTGACCCCTTTGTTTAAGAAGCCCAAGTTTGCAAGTACAGTGGGCTCCATGCTGACAGTGGTGTTCGGGTGTCTATCTCTTTTCACTGTGCTGATGAGAGATTTCCCCCAGTCAGCCGTGTGGCTCCTCTGCCTTCTGTCTCCCAGCGCCTTCTCTATCGGCATCGCCCAGGTAACACACTTTTCCACAAACGCACTCCATGGTGTCCATGGTTTAATGACGGTCACCTAGGTTGTGGGACCGTTAGCCAAGAAATGCATTTGAGAATAGTGATGATTTGAATAACAAATCAGTAGTACTTTAGCCTAGAACGTTTTCACACAAAAGTAGTTTATGTACACTTTTTTTGGGGTCTGTTAGATGTTTTTTTTTTTTTTTTTAAGGTAATATTTTTATTTAGCTAGGACGCATTAAAATTATCAAAAGTTACAGTAACAATGTTTATAATATTACAAAAGATTTCTATTTCAAATATATGCTGTTGTTTAGAACTATTTTATTTATCAAATTATTTTGAAAAAAAAAAGCATCACAGTTTACACAAAAAAAATACTAAGCAGCACAATTGATTTCAGCATAGATAATCAGAAATGTTTCTTGGCCACCAAATCAGTTTATTAGAATAATTTCTGAAGAATCGTGAAATTTAAAATGTAATAAAATAGAAAACAAAATAAAAATTTTCACTTACATTTTTACAGAATTTTTGATCAAATTAATAAAGGATTGGTAAGCATGAGACTTCTTACAATAAAATCAATAACATTAAAAACATTTTATAAAAATTGTATACTACCATTCAAAAGTTTGGGGTCAGAATGTAGTTAGTTACAGAGATGGCGACAAAGAGGCAAAACTTACGGACTGCAGCTTTAACAATAAACAAGTCCAAAATCCCAAATATGAAAGAGTGTATATTCTGGCACTGTTTGTGTGTGTATGTGTAGGTGGTGTATCTGGAAGCTCAGGGGGACGGCGCAGTGTTTTCCTCTCTGGGCAATGGTCCTCATGCCCTCTATGTTCCTATGGTCATGCTGTTCTTGGACTGCATTCTCTATCTGCTTTTAGCCATTTACCTGGACCAAGTACTACCAGGTGACAACTAGGGTCAAAGCATTTTGCATAACCAGTTTAGAACCGCAGAACTTCTCTTTGTGTTTTAGTAGAGTTCCAGTTCTTAACTGTGTTTATATGCAGGCATCATATACAGATTTATACCAATGCAAATTCATTTGCTCAGCCTGGAAACAAGACTGTGTTTGTTCACTGTCCATTTAATGTGACTTCAAAAATGATTTTGATGTTTGAAATATACTTTTTTTTTTTTTTTAAAGTAGACCACAAAATGTTTTCTTAAGAGGAAGATTGCACCAGCACACTTTTCTAGCTTAAGACTTCAAAAGTTTGTTATACTTTTAAATGCAACAGTTTGTTCTCTTAAAAAGATTAAAAGCATTTGCAGATGCCATAAAATATCATTATGTGGCTGCTCTAAAGAATACACACACAATCTGTCTTAGTTATTACTTAACTGGGATGGAGGCGTTTGTGACCTTCCCACATAAATGACCATTTCTTCCTTCAGGCGAGTTTGGCCCAAGGCGTTCAGTGCTGTACTTCCTACAGCCATCCTATTGGTCGAAGCGGAGGAAGCGCTATGTGGAGGTGAGCTCTTTGTACGAGGGCGAGGTCAACGGAACCCCAGTGAATGATGAATCGGTGGAGGCGGTTTCTCCTGAGTTTAGAGGCAAAGAGGTTATCAGGTGCAGACTTGAAACTCAAAATGTATATCTATCTATCTATCTATCTATCTATCTGTCTCTGTCTCAATGTTGTTTGGTTTAATATTTTTATTTTGTTTTATTTTATTTTTTGTACCTCCATATTCAGACCAGTGAAGTGATTTAGAGAGTAGTTTGGAAAAGGAAGCAATGTTTTTAGAGCTGATGTAGGTTAAAATCCTTCAAAGCCTGGATAGATTTGGGCTTGAAGAGAGCTGGCATCCAGCCAGAGCAACCCATTTAATATCCATTTCTGTGTTTATTTTTTTACTCCTGTTAGGATCTGCAATATTCGTAAAATGTACAGAGAGAAAGACACCAAAGTGGAGGCTTTGAGAGGTGAGACTTCCCACCTATGTCCAAATTGACACTTCCTTGTTTGTGTGATACACAAATGATGTATGCATCCTCTTGCTCAGCATTTATGGATTTGAGGACTAAATTACTTTTTGTATCCACCTTTTTCTTGTTGTAAAAATGGGTGCGGCCATTTGTAAATTCTATGGGTCTGGCTTCCGGTCTCATCTGCGTCCACTCCGTCCAGCTATTTTTAGCTGAACAAAACAGTTCATTTTGCTGCTTGATATTGAAAGTTGGTGTGTCTTATATTATTTTAATGTATTATCTTAATTATGAACACACTGGTTTGTAGTGCAAACAGTTTTACCGGTTACTGCACGTTGTTATTCTCATCGTTATTTACCTATAGCGGCTAATGAACCGGAAGTCTCACCCATAGGCTTACTTCCACGTTGAAGAAAAAGGTGGATACTGTAGATAAAATGCTTATA